CAAATGGAAAAACTTGAGTAAAATTACTATACAATTTCTATATATACAGATGTACCATGTACAATGCAAAAAATAATCTGCCACAAAAAGACTTTAAATTATATTTTTGAATCATCTAACCAGCAGACAACATGTCCTGTTAATGCTTATAATTAAACACAGTCAAGAAGATCTAAGGAGGACATGTGCCTGTGAATTTATGAAAATGCAGCATGACTGTTTGTCGTAGACTTGTCATTTAGAATTTTAGCTGGATGCGTTGTGGAACGCCTCCCACTGTGCTTGGTTGTGATTCGTGCTCTGTCCCATAGAAAGGCGATACAGAGCTGGTGTTGTTTTCCTGTCTTTCTGTCTGATAGCAATCCTCCGTCAGCATCGGGCGCTGAGGACGCACTGATGCAATCATCGCTGTGGTAACGGCAGAGAGAGAAGCTGATTCTGGGAGACAGAGGGAGGCCACCATGTGCCGAAATGTGTCCAAATACGCTCTACTTTTCTTCTTCCTCGCTCTCTTTGGAATCCTCTTCCTGCTTCGCAACATCCATACTGTGGAGGTGAGGAGGGCAGGGGATCAGTGCTTGGTTCCAGCTGTTTGTTCATTTTCTACTCACATAAGAAGTAACTGGATCCATCTCAAAATGTACTTCTAGCTCTCTGTCGCTGCTTTCAGACATGCACTGAACTCCAGACATTTCCCTGAAATTTTGCAAAGGGGCTGCATGTGAGACGTCACTTAAGATATTACATTTTTGACCCTGACATTCTCCAGCTGCATTCTTCAAATGGGAAGAACAAACGGTCAAGATCCAGTTTGCTGGAGTTCATGTCTGAAAACAGCTCGAGTGTTTAGTTATGCTATTGCTGCATCAAACCAAAAGACTTTTTACAGTTTGCTAATATCTGTATAACATTCATTTACACTCATACGGTGTTGTGCATCTGTATTTGATGTATTTTTATCTGCCAGTTACAACATCTTCTCCAGCACCCCTTAACTTCTCTTTTTGATTTGTATGCCACCACTTCTCTTTTTCTCCAGAACTGGAACTGTCACACGATTTCAGCTCTCTACCAGCTGCAGAGCAGGATCCAGTCGTCCTACCTCCCCGTCAGTCTCCCCACTTTTCATCGCAACCGCACCTTCTGTGCTCACCTGGGCCAGAAACCCTCCCCCAAAGATGAGCTGGAAGAGCGCTACCTGCTGGACTCCATCGCCTGGCCCGGGCCCCCGCCTCGCTCCGCACCGATGGCCTTGCGCCTGACGAGCGACCCTTTGCACAGCCTGTTCGCCATCCTCCCCACTAAAGGAGGCAGGGAATGGCACGTGGGTGACCAGCTGGAGGTCCTTGTCCAGATGCACGACTTCCAGGGTCGTCCCAAGCGTTATGGTGGCGATTTTATTTTGGCCAGGCTGCACTCTCCGGAGCTCGGGGCAGGTGTGGCAGGTAAAGTGCTGGACCACAGGAATGGATTCTACTCTGCTCTGTTCCCGCTGCTCTGGGTGGGATCTGCACAGGTCGAGATCACGCTGGTGCACTCCAGCGAGGCAGTCGCCGTGTTGCAGCGGCTGAGGGAAGAGCGACCCGACCGGGTGTTTTTTAAGAGCCTGTTCCGCCTGGGCTTCCTGTCTGAAACTACTGTGTGCAACATGTGCCTGCCACCGGATCAGCAGCCTCTCTGCAACTACACAGACCTTTACACCGGAGAGCCATGGTACTGCTATAAGCCGAAGATGCTCAGCTGCGACACCAGAGTCAACCACGCCAAAGGAGGCTACCTGAAACACCTCATCACCAACAAGGAGGCACTGCTGTTCCAGAGGTCTGTCACTGAGAGAGGGAGATCTTTTCTTTTCTTAAAGGAAACCGTCACTGCAGTTTATCTTCAGTTGATCAAACATCCATCATCCTGCTTCTAGAAGATGTATCTTCAGCTGAACATTTTCATCTTAGCGACTGGTTTTGGTTTGATTAATAGAGCTCAGCTGTTACAGGAAATTATCTTTCTATCTTTTCATCTATTATTGATAAAGGGGTTGGTGGGTGTTTGGGGCAGAGGGTGGCAATGCTTAAAATATTTAGGGACTGTCTTAAAACCCTGTCACACATATGCAATGTACCAGCGGCGAACATTAACATAACTTTGGTTCGCTTCACTTGACCTTATTTGTGACTGAGCTCTGAAATGGTTTGTATTGAACCACTTGTTTTCTGTTGTAGTGGTGTAAACATCAAAGTTCACATACAGGCTTCAGGACCTGACAGAGTCACTGTGCTCCCGCCAAGAAAGGGTAAAGTTCAACACTCACATTTCAGTTGGTCCATGTTTATGATTTCATTTATTCAGGTTAATTCATTTGTCTGCACCATTTCTTGGCTTGAGTCAGATAAAGCAGAGGCAGAGAGCAGCAGTGCAAAACCAGACACCATTATGCTGGCATCATCTGGGTATTACTACGAGGAATCATGGAGGCCATCAGGTGGCGTCACGATGCGCCAGTTCAATGAATCGTCTGCCATCATTAAGTGTTTGAAGAACAAGATGATCCACCTTTACGGAGACTCCACCGTCAGACAGTGGTTTGAGTACCTCATTGCTTTCGTACCAGGTGAGGGTTGTTTTTTCTCTTGTATTAGATTTTTGTAATCCTTGTGAATCCCGATCACTGGACCCTCCATGTGTTCCTCTCTCCTCAGGGTTGAAGGAGTTCAACCTGCACAGTCCTAAAAACGTCGGACCTTTCATGGCAGTGGACAACACACTCAACATTCTCTTGAAATACCGCTGCCACGGTCCACCCATCCGCTTCTCCACCGTCATGTCCAGCGAGTTGAGGTACATCTCCAACGAGCTGGACGGCCTCTCTGGGGGTCCCAACACCGTCGTGGTCCTCAGCATCTGGGCCCATTTCAGCACCTTCCCCGTGGAGGTATACATACGAAGGCTGCGGCACATTCGGCTGGCGCTGGTGCGACTTCTGGACCGGGCGCCTGGGACGCTCGTGGTGATCCGCTCGGCCAACCTTCAAGCCTTGGACCAGGAGGTGAGCCTGTACAACAGCGACTGGTACTCCCTGCAGCTGGACAAGGTGCTCAGGGCCATGTTCAAGGGAATGAGCGTCCTGCTGGTGGATGCCTGGCAAATGACTGTAGCGCACCACCTCCCCCACGCCCTCCATCCGCCACCAGCCATCGTCAAGAACATGATAGACATGCTGCTGTCTTACATTTGCCCAGAGAAGAACAAGAGCTAACAGGAGCAGGACAGTGAGGAAACTTAAGGAGTTCTCCGTGTGAATCCACCGACATGTTCTTCAAATCTTTTATTCCCCTGAAGCCACCCCCCCCCACCCTAACTGGAAGATTTACCAGACGGATCTGACTGAACCATCTGTTTACTTGCCTGATACATTTCATCTTTTCATCCGGGAATGCCAAAGACCTTGGTGACATGTGCTGAGGTATTCTGTGTGTATGCAGTACTTTTATGTAACTGGCCCGTATCTGCTGCCGTATCTGCTGCCGTCTCTCAGAATCACAGTGTGCGCTTTGTGTTTTTCTATTAGTGTTGGTCACTTATTTTGCCAAAGTTAAAATCGCGGTGACATTTCATTCCAGCATTGTTTTTTCTGAGCCACGTTTCAACACCTCAAAGATTGTCTGTTACTGTTGATATGTGTAAACTGTGAGCCCGTGTGCAATAAGTTACCTGTAATGTGAATCATATACTGTATGTTTACTGCATTGTATTTGAGGTCCATGCGTATCATTGCCCTGCAATGCACCGGCACGTTTGACAGCCATAGTATTGCCAACTATAATTTTCTTGCTCTATATTTTTTCTAATATAGAATTTTATTGTACAGCCGACTTTTTCCTGATGACGTCTCTAACTTACAGATCTGCCTCTTTGCCTTTCAGACACCAAATTTTACCACGGTAAAAATCATCAAATCAAAAACAGGCATTGTCCGACCTTTACATAATGACTCGTTTGTGTTTATATTTTACTTTATTTTACAGAAATCATTTTCATTCTATGTTCAGTTTTGTTTTTGTGTGTTTTTAACGGACATCTGAGCGTTAATTTAGAAAGATCAAATAGTGGCACATGTTCATTAGAGCCCGACCGATATGGATTAGGATTCTGAAACCAAAATATGATATAAAAATTAGCAGTGATGCCTAAGATGTTATCAAACCTTCATCAAAAAAATGGAATTGAGGTTTGATATTTTACAGTTTAAACATGAACTTTATCACAACCTAAAAACAACCAAATATCTATTAAATGTAAACACATATTTCTGCTTTGTTAAATCGATATCATTTATGTTTTTTATATCACCGAACATAAACAATGATCCTGATATGTCTGTGAAAGGATCGTAAATCGGACTCTAATGTTCGTCAAAGGACGTCAGTGATGGAGGGAGAAAACAGTGGAGGTTGTTCATTGACAGTTTTCAGATCTTTGTGACATAATGTGCCTATTTTTATATCTAATTCTGTCCCCGACGACGATCAAAGTATTAATTCATGATCTATAATAATTGATTTGATTTGTATTTCTGGTTTTGTTTTTCTAATATTGTTAAAAAGATCAAGTCATGAAACCATGAGCTCGCTCAAACTGTGGGTTATAGATCGAGCTCCTGTGTCTTCATCATTCAATTAACTTATTCCTCCGTCGCCCATCGAAATCCTGGATCTAATAAAGACGAATTCTGGAGCCAAAGAGTGTACCTGCTCTACGTGAGGAGCCAGACTGGACTCACTGTAATAAAAGAGGCTAGCACCTGAAATGTTCCTCACCAGTTCGTTGTACATGAAATTACTGTGTATTTGATTTTTTGTTTTGTTATGTTGCACATCAGCTCTTAGTCACATTTTCTAGCTGTTTCATTCGATGCCATCATGTTGCTGAATCAGCTTCAAATAATTTCAAATCATATTAAAATATTTAGTTCCTAAAAATGTGACGTGGACGAGCTTACATCGGTGTACCATGTTTATCAGTGTTACTGTGGGGAATGTTGGAGGATTTCAAAGAAAACCAATGCAGCTGATTAAAAGAGCCATGCAAAACCCAAATGACTGTTTTATTTAAAACATTTTCTGTGAATGTGTAGAGAACAATTTTGATTGATAATTTTTGTTTTAAAAAGGTTGTAGCCAGTTTAAATTCTGTCAAATTCCTTGTGCTATTCTTTTAATCTACATGTGTGATCTCCACCATTCGTTATAATATCAGTGCAAAAATGTTGAATAATGATAAAACCAGTCAAACTGACAAACTGTTTTTTGAATGAAATTAAATAACTATGAATCCATTTAACTCATCAATCAAAAACAGACCCTGTCTCATAATCCTGGGTCATGTTCCATCCTTCCACCAAGTTTCAAGAAAATCAGTTCAGTGAGTTTTTGTGTAATCCTGTAAGCAAACAAATGGATCTGTGGACAACATAGTCTCCTTCCAAATGAACTGCTCAAGTACTGAGGTTTTGGAATTCTGTAAAACTGTGTCAAAGAAATCTGTGATAAAAATGCAACAAATCCATCATATTGAGATAACAATTTTATTTAAAAAGTTTCATTTTTCCTTTGAAAACTTCAAGCTTGTATTTCGGTACTAAAGCGCGCTGAGCATCATATTCTCTAAGAGTAAAATAAGATAAGATCCATCTCATCTGTAACTTTGGCAAACACACGACAGGCAGAGCAGAGTACAAAACTGAAGGAAAACACACTTCTGTTTACAAAAGAAACGTCCTGACGATCACACTCAGTCTCTGACAAAGCCTCCTCTGAACATACTAAAGACCCTAACCCTAACTGACGATCACAGTGAAATAGAAACTCAGGATGATGCTGGAGTGTTTGTCAGTGTATGCATGTGTGTGTGTGCAGGTTACAACATGCGCACTCACTGACGGTGAAAGAAGAGGCACAGGATGTTTCTGTCGGTCTCTTCATCATTCTAAACCACCGCTTTGTTTCCTGTGCACCAGCTCCGAAACAGATAATTCACTGCACGTGTTTGCATACTACAGTAAAACATCTCAGCTGGAGAATCTAGTGACAGAGGAGCAGTTTCAGTTGTAGAGTAACAGATGACACGGTCTGGATGTTTGATATGCTGTGTGTGAAAGGTTCCGTTCAGATCTGGAAGTAACAGACGTCCTGAGAGAGCCGATCACAAGAGATTAGCACCAAAATGGGATTGGATCTTACTACCACGCTTATATGCAAATAAACATGTATGTCATTTGTGTTGGTGGGGACCAAATGATTTCGTTTTTACCCAGTCTGAGTTTACAGATGTGTCACATGACAATGTGTGTGTGTGTGTGTGTGTGTGTGTGTGTGTGTGTGTGTGTGTGTCTCGACTTAAAAGAGTCAGGAGGGGCTGAACACAACGAGCTGCAGATCTACTGTGACGAAGGTTTTGAGCAATTTAAGAAAAGCCTCAGTCATTCTGTGTTGATCAGTGTTGATGTTGGGGCCAGAAACTAATCGACACGGTCACAGAGAGCCGCAAAAATACATTGAACTCATTGTGAAACTGCAGCAGGTCAGAGACGTCAGCTGAGCAGCTGCTGATCCTTCATATGTGATCCAGGACGGATTTTCATTCACACAGCAAACAGACTGAGGCCACAGGCATCTCAGACCACCTCTGGATGTGAGATCTCACACGACCACTTGTGATCGGATCACTCAGGACAGATGTTCATTTAATACCAGGCATGAACGGGGTCATAGAGAATCTTTATATACAGCATTATGCAGTGTTTGATGGGCATCTAGTCAAAAATAAGCGCTATAGAGACAATATCATTACAAAAAAAACGAACCGTAACAATAATAATAAAAAAAAAAGTTGCATATCATTAGCTAAGTATGTATTTATGGAGGCAATGCAGAAATTGTGCGTGATGCCACGGCAGAGTGTTGAGTTTAGACACTGACTGATCACACATCCTGGACGTTCATGGCCTCCTGTGGCCAGTTGTATGTGTCCAGAGTGAAGGAGTCGTAATCAGGACTGTAGATGTGAGACAGCACAAACGCCTCCTTGTCTTTAGGCTCGGGGTACACCGAAGCAATGTTGTGTTTGTACGCATAATTGACAATCTGGCAGAAAGGGACACATAAAGGAATGTGTGTGAGGAGTGAGAGATAAATTCAAATTACATTTTTAACACCATGATGAATGAAAGACCTGTGTCAAGAATGAGACATGGAGGAATATCCCAGGTAGTTAGGTGAAGTAAACAGAAACAGAATTTATAGTTTTAGCAGAAACATGCAGAAGTCTGTTTTTGTTTTTATCGTATACATGAATGTTATTTTACTACATTCAGTTGATATGATGTTTTATTTGTGAGCTGTAAGAACATGTTGACTGTTAAAGTAATGAAGTAGACATTCTAAATATAATAAACGTCATTTTTCTTCTCCAAAAGACGAGGAAATATTTTACACGATTTCGTTTCTGAATCGTTCCATAACATCTGATTTTTGAATGACAAATGATCACGATTATATATTTCTATCTGTCACGTTGTAGAGGACACCTACCTTAACTGCTATCTTGAAGGACACCTCTCTGATGGTGCTCAGAGGAGGATAAAGTCGTCCCTCAGCCAAGTGCTCCTCTGTTACCATGTCAGCAATCGCCTGAGAGACACAATCAATAAAGTTGATTTGAAGTGGAGGAGTCTCCACGAGTCAGTCTCAGCTGTCAATCACTAGATTTTGTTCTTAAAGCATCAAAGAAGTGATCAAAAAAATGAACACGTGAACAAACATTAATGTGATGAGAGATACTTAAAATCACAGAAACCATTCAGGAAAAGAGCTCGGAGGGGGTCTCGCCCGGGGAGTAACTCAATGTAGAACCGCCACTGAGTAAGAGGAACGTACCTCTGCTGTGGTGAGGAAGACGTCGTCAGATATGTGGCGGACCCTGCAGGCTATAACACCCAGAGCCACTCCAGGGAAGACATACGCGTTGTTTCCTTGCCCGGGGTAGAAGGTGCGTCCATCAGCCAGCGTCACCTTGTCAAAGGGACTTCCACTAGCGAAGATGCCGCGACCCTGATCCAGAGGACAGTGATGCACAAGTGTGTTAGGATGTAGATGTCAATATATTAAAGGGGAGATTTACAGAATACTTGTTTCTGTACAATCTGACAAGAAAATCTGTTGTATGAATTTACTGGATGACCATGTTTTCTAAAGAGGAAAGATCACTTTCTAATTTTAGTTTTTTGGGAATATAAAGTCCCAATCTTCAGTTTGGTGTCAAATTTCATGAAACGCTGGTCAATAAAAGTCTCAGTGTGTCCAAATGAATGGGATCGTAGTGGTGGAAATGATGAGCTCGATAATAACAGGAATAAATAAAAATGGAAGTTGAATAAATTTGGGCAAATTGGATTTGGGACTTTTGCATGAGATTTGATATGAATTGTTTTAGGCCCCGGACACAAACAATATTTCTGGGTGATTAATATATAAATAAATAAATATAATCAAACTGTGAAATGTGATTTTCTGTGATAGAAAGGTGCGAGGAGAGTGTGTAGCTCTAATTCAATGTGTTAAAGACAGTGAAAAGAAATTTAGGATGTGCTCCAAATTTGAATGTGTTCTTTCTTGGGTCATGTCTCAGCCCTCTGCAAAATTCCACAGAAATTGGTTGACTTGATTTTATGTAACTCTGCAAACTACAGTAACTAACAACCAAGCATGAAAACATGACCTCCAATGGTTCAGTTAAAGGCTGACTTTAGTGTCCAGGATGTGCTGAACGTGCCCCCGTCAGTGAGGCTGCACACCTCTCACCTCTGTCAGCTTGTAGCACTGCTCTGCCGTGCACTCCGCCTTGCTGGTGGGGTTACTCAGGGCGAAGATGATGGGCCTCTCATTGAAGGCCGCCATGTTTTTGATGATCTTCTCAGTAAATGCTCCCGCGATAGCAGCCACGCCTTCATGTTCAGGACACAGAGGGAGAGTCCACAGTTTTACACCAGAGATGACTTCGATTAATGAGACCATGTGAGTAACAGTTTCATTTGTAGGATTTTAAGTTGAAACCATTAAGGTCATGATATCACAGATATGATTAGGAATCTGAAAATATCTTCCGCTTCATCATACATGCAGTGTATGAATTTAAGATCCAGAATTAACATTTAATCCTTGTCAAACTTTGAGGCATCAGATTAAATAAACAGAAGAATTAGTGGATTTGTAGCAAATTACCAAGTTGTTACTGTGGTGAACAAAACTGTAGAGAAGAAAATTCACCTTTAACAGGTTCTCTGTTTTTCCACTGGTCAAATAAATGGATGAAAGAACAGTGTGGGTTATAAAGTGGTTTCATGTGTTAAATATAACAATGTTCTTTGAGGGATGTTTCACGACGTTTAGTGCGACGGCGTCTTGATGAAACTCCAGTTTCACAGCAGGTGAACTCACCTATGATGGCGGTGGGTTTGATGGTTTCCACGACCTCCTCCAGCGTCTTCAGGTGCGGGTGGTCGTGGGCAAACTCCTCCTTCTCATGGTTTAAATGTCCTCTTCCCTAAAATTGTTTAAAATTTTGTATAAAACTCCACATGGTGCTGTTTGGTTATTTATGAGCAGGGGGACATGTCAGAGGACGAGACACACACAAACCTTCACAATGAGACCTTTGGAGTCGACCATCCAGATCCTCTTGGCAGCTTCCTCTTTGGTTACTCCCTCTTTGGCCATGGCCATGATGAGCAGGTGAGCGATTCCCAGAGCCGCCTGATAGAAGAAAGAAAAGATGAGCAACTCTCCATCTGCCTCACAGTCTCTAGCTGTCTAGAGACTCATTATTATCTCTCTTGGATTAACTGCAGTCATTTTTATTCTGAATCAGGATAAAATTCTGACCAATCGTGTCTTCTCACCTCGCCTGCTCCTTGGAAAACAAAAGTGTGGTCTAACAGTTGGTTCTTTGTGATCTTCAGAGCAGCTAAGACTCCGGCAACAGCTACTGAGGCCGTGCCTGAAAGAAAAAACATATTTTCACTGATTCACTTTTGTAACAGGTTTGAATTGAAAACTGAAATGACTGCAATTTTCTATATTTTTGTCTCTTGGTCTGGTTATAAACTGGCTGAAGCTGTAAGCGTGTTCCAAAACCTTGGATGTCATCGTTGAAGGTGCAGTATCGATGCCTGTATTTGTTGAGGATGCGAAAAGCGTTGCTGTTGGCGAAATCCTCAAACTGAATCAGACAGTCCATCCCGTACCTGCAGAGCGACAGAGAGTTCCATCACCACCATCACTTGTACGCCTCCTCATTGTCATCAGTGTTTCCACTCACTTGTCCGTCACCGCCTGCATGAACTCATCGACCAGATCGTCGTATTCCTTTCCTCTGATTCTCTTGTGCTTCAGTCCAATGTACAGTGGGTCATTGAGCAGCGTCTGCACCAGAAATACTTAATCAGTTAATCAGTGAATCATCAAGAGACAACTTGACATCACTCTCATGATTTGGAGTTGATGATGCCTTTGAATCAGTAAATGATTACACAAGTCACCTCAGTGGCTCTTTGAGCTCGTCTGACATGTAATCTGTGACGACTGATAAGAGGCAGATATGAAGTGCTGCACCAGCTCATAAAATTTGATTCCTGCCTTCCTGCAGCTCAGGTCATACTCGCCTGGTTGTCAGTGCCGACGTCCAGCAGGACCGGGAGACAATTCTGTGGGCGAACACCACCGCACGCTGTGTAGAGCGCCAGTTTCCCGACAGGAATCCCCATCCCGTAGCCGCCCAGGTCCCCAAGTCCGAGGATACGCTCCCCATCTGTCACAACGATGGCCTTCACAGAGACAAAACGCATATTAGTCACATAACGATGCATTAAACATGTGTGTGTGTGTGTGTGTCAAGAGAGCAACACACCTTTATGTCTTCTTCTGGCCAGGAGTTGAGCACGGAGGCGACGTGTCCTTTGTCATGGATGGTGATGAAGAGTCCTCTGTAAACAAGTAGTTTGTAAAGAGAAGACATTAGTATAGGTGGCGTTGTACAGCCAAGATCAAAGGTATGATTGATTTGATGACACTGACATTCATTAACTTCACAAACTCAAGAAATCAGTGTACAGTTATTTGAAACTTGATTCAGCACATTGAACAACTTTCAAACAGTAAAATCATGTGGAACTGAGACACACCCGTGTTACCATGTAAACTAAAGTGTAAACACTGACACACATGATATTGGCTGCAATAAAAGGAAAAACAAAATCAAACTCAAAAGTGAAAAGTGCAGGAATGTCAGGAAAACATGAGACAGTAAGACTGAGACAAAACCTCAACAAAAATCACAGTGTGAGTCAAACTCCTCTGTAAACTCTCACCGTGGTCTCCTGAAGGCCAGTCCGTACTGCTGACACGCCAGACCGACGGTGGGCGTGTACACGATGGGCATGAACTCCTCGATGTCAGAGGTCAACAAACGGTAGAACAGCTTCTCGTTTCTGTCCTGTAGTGTCATCAACAGGATGTACCTGAGATGGAGAGAGATGGAGAGAGAGAGAGAGAGAGAGAGAGAGAGAGAGAGAGAAAAATCATGATTTCTGTTAAGTTGCATGATGGTACATGTTTTAAATCAAATTTATCTGAACTCAAAATATTTATTCTGCTTGTATCATCCATCTAGAGAGGCAGCTGCATTAAAAGTACCTTCATTTTGTCTTTAAAGTGTTTTATGTTGTTAAACCAGCCTCACTACATGACAAGCTTGAACCAAGACAGCTCCACAGGTCCTTGATGGAACTGAAACCAGGGACGTACTGTGTGTGTGTGTTTTAACTATTAGAAAACCGTTCAGCTTTTGTGGGTCAGTGGATACACTTTTAATCATGCGATGAAAGACGAAAACAACTGTTGACCGTTGCCCTGGCACCAGATGTGACATGCTAAAGAAGATTTAACCAAGTGGGACGGCCCCGATAACGATGAGCTCATGTAACATCTGCAGCGTGACAAATCTTGGTCGACACTTCAGCACAACTTCTGAGTCTGTTCTCTCACTTGTCCAGAGGGTTGGTGCGAGTCTCGTAGCTCTTCATGACCCGCAGGACCTGCACATCCTGGGAGAGGAAGCAGGGCGGCAGCAGGCCGTGGATGCCCAGTTGTAGGCGCTCTTCCAGGGTGAACGCCATGCCCTGCAGGGTGGGACAAAGATCGGTTATACAACTCTGTGACCACAGGGAGGAGTTTGCACTGAACTAAATTTTTTAAAAACCACACAATCCAGACCAGTGACTCACATGTCAGTCAACACGCTGTGCGGTGAGTCATGACTCATACTCGCTCCCAAATACAGAGGTCTTCATGATCTTTTGTTCTAAATGATAAATGATTCATCTTTGTATGGACACAAAACAAGGCCCAGGAGAAATGTCCTGCAATGTTTAACAGTGAATAACATGAGGCCGAGCATTCACTCTGGTGAACTGTGTGGAGTGAGACGATTAATCTATTTATTCTGTCCAATAGCGTGAGAGCCTGAACTCACTCCCTCCTAAATAAGCTCCACTTCTTTTTCCTCCTCCCTTCTTCATCACTCTTTCCATTTCCTCTTAAATCTCACACAACAGAGGAAACAGACCCACGTGACAAATGAATTCACTTTCTGTTGTCAGTTTATTTGACTGTGTGTATCTTCTGAACTCTCTTGTGTCCCTGTTAATTATTCATGAGTGTAAAATGTGATTCTCCATTTGATATTTGGTTACTAATAATACAATCGATATTTCTACACTTGCCCACAAGCTGCGTGCTTCCCCATTGAGGAGGATTTTGATGCAGAGCAACACTGCACAGCTTTAACTTGCACAGTAACCGTAGCTGCACAACATAAGCTCTGCCTGCCAGAGGTCACTAAAGGAGGTACTACAGAGATACCTTAAATACTGATGCCTTAAATACCAAACAGGAGAGAGGGAGAGAAGAGAGCGAGAGAGACAGACAGAGCGATAGGAGGAAAAAGAGAGAGCGAGAGCTACAGAGAGAAAGTTAATGTGGAGTACAATTACAAAAACTATTACCATGCACATGGAACTTTTCACATGCAAACAGTATTGACAAATCAGAGGCCGATCGATGTGGATTTCTGGGGGCTGATGCTGATATTGAAAATAGGAAACGTTTCTGATACTGATATATCAGCTAACATATATATATTTTTAAACTGGCAATGATTTCTAAGATGTTGTATCATACCCTCATAAATGAAGTAATGTAATTGAGGCTTGATATTTTATAGTTTTTTTATGGTTACCTCTTTTTTAAAAATCTGCAAATACTAACAGACCCTGATACGTTTGTGAAAGGCTCATATCAGATATCAGCCAACCAATAAACCGCTCAGGCTCTAAAACAAATGCTGTACGTCCACATTATCAGTGGAATATAGAAAAATGGGCCCCATGGCACAGACATGTAAAAGCTCCCCCCACACGTCCTACACTACAGCAAGAAGCACAGACTGAAAGAGACACAGCACTGATACGAAGGTGAGAAACTCAGTGTTTCTTCTGCATCACTTTATACTTATTTGTGGTTGTTTTGTGTCTTTCATGTTTGTGGAGTCTGTGACTGGCTGGGCCTTGGGGCTTGTGCCCAGTAGGACTGCTCAGTAATCCAGCCATGATCCCAACACTGTGAACTTGGCCAAAGAAAAGTCACAGATTAACAGAGTTAAGATAAACCTATTAGAGCGAGCAGGTAAAGAGGCACTAAAGTAAACTCATTAAGGTGACACTCCTGACCAGCAGCTGTTGTGACACCTACACACACACACACACACACACACACACAGAAACACACACGACTCTAATTCAAACCACATTGTGAATTACTGTACTTTGGTGTTATAATATCACAGCACACATGCAGTAAGCTGTGATTGTAAAAATGTAGGTGCAAGAGTGTATTACCCTTTGTCCATAAATAGATAATACACATATGTGTAATTGGCTCAATAAAACAGAGTAAATCACTCAGGTGGAACAAAACATGTATAAAATGCAGCCAACAGTTAAATTTGAATTTATTTACACTTAAATAAAATGTCAAAGAATTCTCCCAATGTAAAGCAGGGCTCCACTTCCTGACTGCTTGTCCTCTGAATCAGTGTATAATACAAGTGCTGACTGGGCATCAGCAGGGGAAGGAACTGTGTCCGACCTCCTGTCAGCCTCAATCAAAGCAATAAACTCAGCCGAAGCTTCTTTATCTGTGCTGATGTCCTCGCAGAACAGCAAGGCAGCGAAAAAGCAAAAGACAATTCTCTGTTTGTACAGAATTTATTGTAAAACCACTGGTGAGTCACTTGGTGGATGTTTTTCTTTAGTTCTGGCACAACCACTGCAACAACAGAATCTTTTGAAGGAGCAGTCTCTTCCTCTTTAACACTGAAGGAAAATATTCTTTCCATAATGTGACTGCAAACGTTTTGCCGTCACTACAGAGAATATAAATGTTGACGATTTATGGTTGTTAAATGACACTAAGTCAAATTTTTTTAAAACACTGTCGTCAGCCTAACAATGATATTTTATATTATGTTTTCTGATGGTCTGACTCAAGGGCAGCATGTTAATTAGGAATAATAAGGGACCCAGGATTGACCCTTGAGGAATCCCATGACTAAAATGGGAAACCGAAGATTGTGAGTTTCCAACCACAAACGAGAAAGTTATTTTTGACAGATTGGAATAGATTAACAGCAGACCCCTTTAAACCAAACAAGGTTTCAAGACCCTGCAGCGTGATAAGAGTGGTCTACAGTGTCAACGGCTGTCTCACAACACACAGAGGATTTCTATAATTCATACATCCACTAAGGTCAACAAGCATATGAAGTCTGCATTGTTGGGTTGACTCAATCACAACCAAACATTAGGGGGGAAGTAGGAATGGAAGCTGCATGATCTGAACACACCCAGACCTAAAATAACTTCCACTTCAAAACTCCTCACATGTGCACAGACGGGTAAATCCTTCCACCTCCCCTGACCTCACAGAAAAGGCACTGAAGCATTCTAGAGTGAATGTCTTTAACATTGAATTTATGGTTTTTTGATAAGACAGAGACAGAGACAGACGACTGTACAGGCAGGACTCAGCAGGCATTTGACTACCTCACTTTAGATAGGAGCTTTCACACTCATGTGCTCCACTGCAACATAAATGTGGTACTTACTTGCTATATATGTTATTCTGTGTTTGCCTTTGTTCAACCATCATAGCATACGGTATGTAGGACAGGTTTTCTGTTGACACAGTCATGTGACTGTAGGGGCAACACAAGTTCCCCGACACAGAGCAGATCACGACATGTTTCAAGTTCTTTGCTGCATATTTGCACAACTAATGCTTTAATGTAGTATTTGTAGAAAAATGAAATCACGTACTTATATGAACTAACTATTATTAATGCATGTTTTGTAGTTATTATGTAGATTTTCAGTGTTTTTGCAGCAGTTTCACAGATCAAATAGTCCAGTTTTCATGATGTCTGTGTATGTGGTGCATGGCCAATAACCATCATGTGCAGGTAACGCTCCGAACATTACCCACATAATCCACCACCAGTATGACACAGTGATTGAAATGAGGCGAAAAGAGCATCAATAACTTAAAACTGCACCTTTCAAACTGAAGATTAAGGAACCTGTAAACGAATCATTTTAAAGATGTCATTCGTTTACAGGTTCCTAAATCTTCAGTGTTCACAGTTTGGGCTTCTCTATGTCAGTTATGACGGAGGACGTGTCTACTGGGCTCTGAGAACTTACGACAGTTAATATCCAATGCCACTGGAAAGTTAATGTCATAACTTTTTATTGACCAGGAGATTATTGTTTAATCTATGAAATATACCGGAGGTCACCAGGGACACTTTGGGGTTCGGTGTCGAACATTGCACTTTGTACTTTGAATGAAATTCATAAGCTGTAGCGTCAGAGAGTGAAGTGCTTTATGATAGTGTCTATGTGATTTGTACTGTTGTTGCTTAGTCCTGGATGTTTTCATTTCTGTGTTCTTTTTCTGACTGTCACACTAGATAATACCTGAGAACAGAATGACAGAGTTGGGATATGTTATATACAGTAAGTTAAATGCACTGGTCAGAATTCAGTATCAAAGTCCAGGTACGGGAAAGATGGTATTTGAACATCTCCGGTTCACACCCTCACCTTCACCTGGTGCTGTTGAAACGTAGCCATGTGTCATTGTGTAGATATTTGCTCCAGGAACCTGAGGTTTATTTATATATGTAGATTTAAGGATACAGGCCTTCGTGATTGTGAGGAAAGAACCAGACACAGGGTGGACAGCTCACCTTGTTGAGGTGTGGGTTTCTGGTGATGTCGTAGCCTCGCTTCTTGGTGCTGACGCTGCCCTTGCGGTTCTTCCCGGAGTGGCAGACCCGCACGGCCTGGACCGAGGCCGGCAGGCTCCCAGCGGGGTGCCCCGGGGAACCGGCGAGGATCCTCAGCCCGCCGGCGGCCGTGCGCCTGCACAGAGACAGCGCTGCTCTGCCCGGAAGAGAGTTCATGGTGCCTGCGGACAACCAGGGGGCGAGACACCGTCTGAACCGGAGGCTGGTGGAAGTAAAAGTCGCCCCCAGGTTACGAATGTGAAATAACGACAGTGACTCATCCATCAGACAACCCGCTGCAAGAGTGTTAGCTTTGGAGAAGCTGAGTCACTCCAGCGACAAACAACCTTCATCTCACTGCTGTGAAAACAATTACAAGAGCGGTGATAACGTGGAACCTCCAGCCGATGTGTTCACTGTTTCCCCCACATCATCACCGCTGCTAGCACCTGTTAGCATCACGCAGATTTTTACGGGAATGTCTTCCCGGGACAATGTGCGCAGCTAATGCTAGCTAGCAAACAGGAGGCTAACAACCAGCAGCTGCTTTTATTAATTTTTTACCTGAAGACGCCGGGAAGCTGCTGGGACTTCACTCCTCAGGAGACGGTGCGATGCTCCTGCGGGTCAGGGGGTGTTGTCGAGTGGGGATCGAACACACGAGCAGCTGATCCAGGATCCTGTGTCATTGACGGTGTTCGCTTCCCCCGGTCAGAGCTGCGGGTCAGTCCGCCCACAGTCTGGAGCCCCCAATCACAGGAGGAGGAGGAGGAGGAGGCGGTCAATCAGCAGCCGGCACCTCCTCCCTGCTCCCTCACTGTAAACACATACATGTGTCACATGCACACTCATGATGTTTGGACTTTAAATCAAAATGTAATTAGTTGTCCACGTTTATATATTTGAGCCTGTTAGACATTTAGTTTCATCTTGTTTTTAAAAGCACTGGAACAAAAGTATAAATGTGTTTTAATCCCTGACTTCTACTTTTGTGCTGTATGTTGTTTAATCTATTTTACTTTGTATACTTCTTCATACTTTATTTGCTCTGTATGTGTGCTTTATTTTGTCTGTATGAAAAGTGCTTGATAAATAAATAAATATTGTGGAATTTTCATGGCTTCCTCCAGTTTTGTTGAACCCACAGCTCAGGTAAACAACACATATTTGAACTCACAACTTCTCTGCAACGAGCAAAAGACAAAAACATCTGAACATGCACTTCACATACACATTCTGTGGCTCCCTCTGCTGGACTACACATGGTCACACACTTTCTGGTTTAACTGGTTTAGTGCCCTCGGGACAAAATATCAGAAACACCTCTCAGGATAATGTGCTGCGGTTCAACACCGCTGTTTGGTGCCACGGAAACTGAACATGTATTAGTATGAGTTGGGCGTACCTAGTAAAGTGGCGGCACACCTCATACATTCATAAACATCAGTCTCCTAACTATGTCAGAGTAAGTACAGAACAGTAAGTACATGAAATAATAAAGTACATGAAGGAACCACTCACACTTGCTGTATCTAAAAATGTTTATTAAAAACATACACATTTAGGACGATGCATCTCTGTTCATGTTTGTAACAAAGATAAAAATCATAACTATATTTTGGTGTCAAAGTGTCCACTAACTGTCCACCTTACTACAAATGTCCACATAGAGTATTTCCCTTTGCTGTTACAGTCAAATAATGTTACTACTGATAAAGATTTAAAAAAAGACACTTTAAATAGTACAAGAAATTTTGTAAAAAAACAAATACACATCATATGTGTCTGAAAAACTCTCATAGCCTCTTCATGAAACCTAAATAACAAACAGAATGTCACAGTGTCCATCTGTTTGTTAAAACTGTGTTTACTTCACAAACAACAGGAGGAAACATTTATCCACCAACAGCAGTGAAACAAACACATAACTACTTAATACAAGGACACGAATCACACACAGTAATTATAACATGACACCAGGCTTAATATTACTTCAGGTTTTCAAAGCCTCAAATGAACTTTTTCTTCATCTTTAAGAATCATATTTTTACCACATACACAGTAAGAAAGTTTATTCATGCAATACATTTTCACAACTCAACGGAACAAACCACAAACTACATCCATGCACACTCATTGAACTCATGAAGGTACCTTTCTGTTTGTCTTCATGTCTCACCGTTCTGGAAACATTCAGGAAAGGGTCAAACTAGACGGAAATGCTTTAGATGACTACGCTCATGGCGCTACGGGAGCTTCTATCCTGAGAGAGAAGAGTGACAGAGATGAGGTTTAGTTACAGGAAGATATGACTGGCGGACAAATTCACATTTGGACCTGATGATGACACTAAAAGAAAAGTTACAACAATTCATCCGGAGAGACCAGAAATGTCTGAACCACAATTCACCTCAATCCTTCAAATACTTAAAAGCACAAATGTAAACTTAAGGAGGAACAGTCAGGAACAGGATTCGTGGTTGGTAGAGTGACATCCACTGATCCACCTCCCTAACTTGGCTAAAAAGGGATGAACAGAAAACTAAAAAAGAAAAGTACGCAGAAACAGAAAACATTCTTTCAACGGACGACTGGTTCAGAGTGTATATCAATGTCAGTATTCGTGTGCGGCTCTTACAGAAAGGCGGTGGTAGTTCCTCCGGTCGCTGCTGTTTCCTGGTTCGATCTCAATGGAGGAGTAGCTGGGAGGCTTCTCTGGCCAATCCTTCCCTTTTCCTCCTCTCCGTCCCCTGCTGTCCTCGTCGTCGGAGCTCCAGGAAGCTTTGCGGCGCTGAGGAGGTGAATAGCTCCTCTCCCTTCGAGTTGCTCTGCTGTGCAGCTCCTCCAGCAGATCATCACGACTTCGGGTTCTCGGTCTGGACCCGCCTCCTCTCCTCTTGGCCCGGCCTCGACTCTCATTTCTCGAACCACTGTGGGGCGCTCTTTCTCGCCTGTTATCCCAATCGGAGTCGTCGCTGTAATCCCGTAAGATTCCTCGCCTGGGTATGGATACGTCTCTGTCTCTATACGTACGTCTGTCGCGGTGGGCACCTCCTCCAGAGTAATTTGTACTCCCACTGGACTGACTAACAAATCTGGGGACACCCCGGGCTCCGTCTCCACCACCAGGCCCCCTCTGAGAGGTAAAGCTGGGTACACGCTGGATTATAGGAGGCAGAGTGATGACCCTTCTCTCCACCCCTCTCACTCCCATATCATCCAGGGCTGACAACATACTCGGAGGCCCGGGTGTGTATGGAACTGCTGGAGGAGGTGACTGGCGCTGTAGCTGAGGATAATGTTGTAATGGAGGCCTTTGCTGGACTGCGTACGGACCCGTTTGAGGTGCCACTGTGTCCAGCCCCCTCACCTGGTTCTCCAGGTAGTCCAACACCTGGTTGGCACCATGAACGCTGCTGTGCACGCTGCCATTCATGTGGTGTACAGGTGGTGGAGCGGGCTGGTGCTGCATGGGAGCCATCTGCTGCATGGGAGCCATCTGCTGCATGGGAGCCATCTGCTGCATGGGAGCCATGGCAAAGTTTTGTTTGGAAGGATAGTCTGCGAATGACCCTGGAAAAAGTCAAACATGAACATTGATTTAGATTCATGTTTGGCGCCATCTAATGCAGTTAAATAAAATATATGAAACCAAACAAAAGGTTTTCAACATCCAGAGCTGGTAGAATAGTAGGATGTACTGCAAGTAGCTCAAAAACACAAGTGAAGACAGTCAACTTGCAGTGGTGGGATTTGAACCCATGACACCTGAGAACCTGAAGCCATAATCCAGGGCCTTAGCTACACTACCTCCTATATATGATTGTATTATGGCCTATGTGGGGAAAAGGTCCAGTCTGTGGTGAACTGTGATGCTTTAACAGGGTCTGGAGGAACCCTCAACTAAAAATGAATGATGAGTCTTATTGTGTCACTCACCTGAGTACAGAATGGGGACGCCCTGTGTGGAGGGATTTGAGCTGATGGGAGCGTAGATGGGTTGCCCGTTCATCCAAGGAGCCATGGCTTTCTGAGCATCTCGGATCATCCTGTGCTGCATCACAGCTGAAATCACCACAGAGACATGATGAAAAACTGTTAAGGTATCCCTGCTCACTTATGTGGTTTATTATTGTTGTTATACTCTATATAAAGTAGTTACTATTACACCGTCAGAGGTCATTCTGCTGTAAAATGAGTAATTTACTTAAGAACATGTTATTCATAATACTTTGTTAAAGTCTAGAATGGAATACATTTTTATTTCTAAATTGTGGATAAGAAAAAAATAGATAAAAATCATCATTCTACCCTTTTCCGGGCAGCAACATGTCTGCGGACAACACGGGCAGCGGACGTAGCAGCAGCACTTCTGTGGACAGCACTGACAGCAACATATGCAGAACAGCATGATGAGCAGGAGAGCGCCGATGATGATGAGCAGGACCGTCAGCCAGTCTGGAACACGCCAGAGTGAAACAGGATTTTACTACGGACACTTCATGCAGCTCAGTTAAACCAACTAACGTATCCAGGCTGGACATGAAGTCAATCGGCTGTAGAAACGTACGGTAAACGATGAGCTTCACTTCCTTATCCGAGTCCCCCGCCGTGTCACCAGTAGCATCGATGTTGCAGAAATACACACCGTTGTCCCACCACATCACCTCACTCATGACCAAGTCAGCCTCTGTTGATGATAATAAAATAATGTCAAAAAAAAGTATTTTTAGATATAGTTTCGATGTACAAAAGTATTTTTTCAGATTCTATAGCTTCTCCAGTTATGCTTATAAAATTAAAAACGTAACATGGCAAAAGTGCAAAAGAACAAATATTTCTTTCTTAATATACAGTTTGCTCACAAAACTCTATTAAAACCATCTTAAAGAATGAAATATTTTATTATTTCCTGTTTTTAATGCAAATACACTATCCAGCCTGTGTGGTGTCTCGCTGAATGATCTAATTACATATCATTGCATTTAGTAAGTTTGATTTAGAATAATAACACTGTTATACTGACTGTTTTGAATGGTGATTCTTCTCTCTCTGTAGTCAGCACCCAGGATGGGCTCATTCAGGCCTCTCTTCTGGATCACTGTGCGGACTGTGCGCTGGCGGTCCGGGCAGTCGTTGGACGGATCCTGACCGAGCTGCAGAGATGCCTGATAACCTTCAGAAAGAGATGACAATGGTAAAAAAAAAACGTCATTGCATTTTGTATCTGATATATGTTCATTACAACGATTCCTCATGATAATGATGAAAAACAGATGGTGGTTAGAAGTTAGTGCTATATAAACTGACAAAGATGTTTAAAAAGCATATATAACACAGTATTTATAAGCATTTGGTGTTTTGGAAACTAATACAAAGTCTTCAATTCTCTAAAGAATAAAACTACTGTGAAAAGTTCACCCTCATGGGAACCTTCCAAAGGATGACATTTTATTTCCATCCTTTGGTCGGGCAACATTAAAGCCCTTAAAAAAAAACCCTGTCTCTTTCCAGCCGTCGTCTCACCTGTGGAGTAGTACTCCAGCACCGGGTCTTTACAGAAGGACTTGTATCTCCAGGTGACCAGAACATCCTGAGGGTTCGCTGAGGTTGAATAGTCACAGCGCAGAATTATAGAAGCAAACAGAGTCGTGCTCCTCTCCGTCTCTGGAACGATCACCTGGATGGACAGCAGCTCTGACACAAACAGTCAGATGACAGGTCAGATATAATGTACAATAACTACAAGACACACTATTCAAATGACTGTAATTCTAAAACAGAAGAGCTCCTGTAGGATTGTGTCATAGATTTCCTCTTGGATGGTGGAGCGATAAGAATCCGACCAGACTAGTTAACAGTTTAGCCCAGAGGTCTGTAACTGTGTGTGCATTACGTCTGTGTAAAGAAACAATTTAATTAGACGTAATAACGCCTGTCAATCATGATCAGCGATTCAGAGCCTGACAAACGAAAGCACAGTGATGACAGGCAACAGCTGCTAATAGAGCTAGAGAGGTAACAAGGTTTAAAAACTTGAATTAAATTCAAATAGGAACAGCTAACACACACAACATCCTAAAACACAGTGATCAGACTAAAGCACAACACAAACACAAAACATGGCAGAACAATGGCAAACAAAAAAACATGGTCAAAGCAATGACACCAAAACCAATATGTTCATATATATATTGAATCTTTGTTATATTGCTATTAATAGAAATTATTTTGCCAACCACGAGATATCACAAAAAAATCTTCTATTAATATTTAAAAATTGGAGGGTTGTGGTTTCTCTTATTTCAGACACACACACACTAGATCAATAATCCACAATATACTGATCTGTTCAACCTTTGTTTTATGACTATCGATGACAACAGTATCGTGATATTTATTGATATTGAGTCATGGTCCAGAGTTAGTTTATGATTTAGAGTAAATGAGAGGTAGTGGTGCACAGTCACGTGACAACATGTCGGCCTTGTGCTGTTTACACCTGTCGATTATTAACCTGGACACATTACTGCGAGTTTCATCTGTTTGTTTTAGTGGCTTCACTCGACATTCCTGCACATACACAGAAATAAAGAACGGAGGATGAAGTGTCCGTGTTATTAAAGTAGTTATTTCCAGCAGGAGGGAGGCCTCACCTGTCGGCAGGTAACCCAGCAGCAGCAGCACCGTCACTATCGTGGGACTCATCTCGCTGATCTTTATCCTTCCGCGGTGGCTCGTCTCTTTGTCCCGTCGGCGACTGAAAATCCGCTAAAAAGTAAGAAGTGTTCGGAGGAAACCGTCCCGCGGCCGCTGCTCTTCATTGTAAACACACTGCTACACGCCAGGACGCCATGTTGGTCCGTGTGGGTTCGGTTTCCTGCGCTGAAAGACGAAACTGTGAAGAGGCAACTATAGATCACACAGGTGACATCATGACTCCGCCCCCTCTGACAGGTGCAACACTCTGGTCCAACATGGAGGACAGAGAAGAAGAAGAAGAAGAAGAAGAAGAGACACGTCACAGGTTTTATATTAAACATTATTTACAGAAATTCAAGAAAGACATTGATGAAATGATTCCTCCTGTGGGGATCTCAGGAGAAACGCTGGTAAATTAATTCACACTGTGGAAGATTCGTTTTTTGGATACATACAGAATGAGAGGAGTCTTTGGCAATGGAATCTCTTCTGTCAGATTTTTGAAGAAGGCGATCAGGAATTTTCCTTATTTCTTGATATTTTACCAGTAAAATGAAGGATTAATGTTCAAAGTGTATGATAAGCTTACAAAACAGTGTGGAATATGTAAAAATGAAAATTAGATCCACCTAGATCCACACAGTACAAAGCTTCTGATGAGTCTTATCAAAATCAAATGCTGTTTATTTGGCAGCAGCAGACATTTTATGTGAACTCCCCCCCCCCCCCCTGTCGATCTCTCTGCATGTGAACACACAGATTCTAGAAAACAACCGTTGGATTTGAAAGGAGTGAAGCATGTGTAATCAGAATGTGAATGCAGAGTGAAGCAGAGCAGGTCCGTTTCACTGAGGCGATGGTTTTCATTTAATCAGCTTTGGCAAACAGCCGTTAAGAGTAAAGTTCACTCTCAGGATGAGTCATGTCGAGCGAGTGTCGGAGCTCTTTGTGCGAGCATGTTTACATCTCTTATCCAGGACATAGACCCCAGCCAGCTTCATTATTGACACAAAACAAGCGCGCCTGAGCTGGACTCAAGTGCTGCTCTCAGCTCTCTGAAGTGTGCTGCTTGAAATCCTGAGAAAAATGCTGCATGAATGAAAAGCATCAGTGTCTGTCTGGAGGAGACAAATATAACACTTTATATTCTGTGTGACTGGACTTGTTCAGGCTCAGAGCCCACAGCACCAAAGCCTTTGAATGAACTGTCAACATTAAGACATTTATATAATATTTATATAATATCAATTGACAACCTTGACAAGTAGGGTGACTACAAAGATGTTCAAAATGAACATACAGTTACACAAAACAGTGAAGAGACAAGTTACACAATGACCACAAACGATGCTGTTGTGTTGATTACGGTCATTTCGTGTCTCTTTCAGTCTCAGTGTCTCTCTCTCAGTTGGAGGGCTGGGGGGGCCATGTCTGTGTTTAGTGTCCCATCGTCCCTTAATCTTTCTATGACAGTAAGTTATGTGTCCGATATAACTACTGACATAATTTAATTTTAGAACATTAAAAGTTGTTTATTTGACCTTCATTTATTACACAGAATAATCATTGTGACTAATCATCATGTACAGTTTATAACTGCAGAGAATATGGGCTCTAAGCATGATTTTCTCTTCTTATTTTATTTTGTGCCTCAGTCCTTTGTAACCTGCCCCCATTCACACCTTAAAATACTTAATATAAACTTTCTAAAACACATGTGTAGCATCTGTGGCAACATGTGCAGCCTTAGTAGATGGAAGTTATCAACAAAGCTATAGTGTTTGTTTGGTTGTGTGTTTGATAAGCTACGATAAAAAAACCATAGGCTTTGTCCAAGGTACACACTCATTATCACACACATTGTTATCAAATACAACAGCTACACAAACATTAAATTCTGTGACAGACAAAAGGAATTAATCTCAAAAAATGATCTCATAACAATTGAAATGCAAATGTGTGAGCCCAAAAGCCAGTTAACAGTAACTATGACTATCTAAGTATGAAGAAATACTTTATGCCAAAAATATAATTCAAATTAGACTTAATCCTTCAAAAGTGAAACAAGTGTTGTAAACAAACCTCTTATCAAAACCATGTTGAAGTAAAGCCTTTAAAATTCTGACCTGCTACGTTTTAAAACAGCATAAAAGCAACAATATGCTTCCATAAATGCAAAGGTTGAAAACAATTTATAAAAATGTAAGATCTGACTGATATGTTAATAATATGTTACGTTAATTTCCTGTGAAAATAACTGATAGTTGATCTCCTATAGCTGAGTGTGTTCTCTCCGTTGATCAGGATACATCAAGTCAAATATATTTATTTGTGACGATAACGACTTTTATAAAGTTTTCTTTATTTAAAAAGCATTTATTTAAGCAGTGCAATTCGAATCTGCAGACAAATTCAAGGTACAGTACTAATATACAGTACAATATAAACAACAGACGACCACACAAATACACAGTGAACCTGAGGTGCAGTATACTGAGTATGAAGACTGTAGGAAAACAATAAGACTATGGTGCTCTGCTTGGTTTACAAAAGACCATTGGCAGAGAATAATAATAAAAAACACATCTTGGCACTGGTGTGAAGTCAATCCAGTCACAAAACTCAAATAAAACTGCTGCACACACCACATACATACCGTCGATATGCCACACATGCAGAATACACTGGTGTAACTCATGCATTTGAGTAAAAATGTCCAGTACGAACAGAAACGTCTGCACATGCTGCTTCGTGCACATTTTTCATCCATTTATGTTGTTGTTTTTCAGTGCAGTTACATCAGGAGTCAGGCTTCATGTGGCGGGTGGCGGAACAGTTATCCCCTCCTGCGTAGCAACAGGACGGTTTAAATGAACGGACTGGCAGTGCTGTGCAGATGGAGGCTGGGAAACCTCCTCACACTATGAGTGAGTCCCTGCTCGGTGCGGTGCTCTGTTAAGGAAGACACCAAGAGCCACACGATTAGAGGCTTTGCATTCATGCTCATGCGAGGTTAGTCCAGCCTGATGTCTGAGGTAACAAAGATTTAATACAGTTTATAGAAGTCATGCAGCTCAAGCCTGGTTAATAAAGACTGAATCACTGATTCCACGCGTGACTGTTTTTAACAGTAACAGATTATACAAGTTCAAATGTAATGTGATCATTTCAGTTTCTCATTCAGTTCCCTCATTTTTAAAGACATATGTTACAGCTACCTATAAAAAAAGTCAGATTCAGTGTTAAGACCATGTAACTCGCATGTACATTGCACAAGAGACAGATTATGTACAAAATACTGTGAAACATTTTGAAATGTTAAAGCACTGGTGCTGTTCTCTTTTGTTCTTACTGCCAACAAAAACAAATGATGTTTCTCAGAACTTTTTTGACTTCACTCACCTCCTCTGTCGTAACAATAACTCTATACCTTCAGGTTCTAAAAGGGTTTTTTATTTGATAGAGCAGATAAGAAATTGAGGTGGCGAGATAAAGAAGGGACGACAACAACAAAAGTCCCAAATGGATTTGAACCATGGGTGTTCTAATGGGAAACCCCTCTATCTTTATCCTCGATGATGATGAAGAGGGAAGGTTAACGTTTTTGTTGACAATAAGAAAACTATAGAATATCACCGGTTGTGTCCTGCAACTATTTACAATATTCAGCGGCTCCATTCCTGAGGAGCTGAAGAGGAAGGAAGTCCTTGTTCCTGCTACAAGTAACTCACCAGGTTTCGGCTCCTCTCCTCTCTGCCCCCCTGTAGTGTGTGGGACGTTCCCTTGGGGGGGCGGGTGTAGGAGAAAGGCCTCATGGCTTGATCAGTGGTTCTGTATCTGTCTGACCTGGGAGGTTCTGCAGTGCGGTACCGGTCTGTGGTGTGATCAGCCCTGCGGTACCGCTCGGCCTCCCACTCAGAGTACGGAGGCAAAGGGTCATCCTCTTCTGGACGGTTGCTAGGCGACCGGCTGTAGTAACTATCGCTGCCTTTTCCTCTGGAGCTGCCTTTGGAGGGAGTGTCACTGTCCTCGTCCATCCTCCCAGCACCTCTCTCTGCTCCCCGCCCCCTCGCCTTGCTCTCTAGCACGCCGTTGAGGAAGGCGTCGTCGTATCCTCGGCTCTGAGGAGGCCGAGCCGGACGATCGCTGTCCCATGTGTCCCTTCTCTTTTGGGGTAATGGCGAGGGGCTCCTGCGCCCCCAGCCATCATCTTCATTTTTGTAGAAACGCCTGGGCGGGCTGTAATCCCGATCATACGTGCGGTATGGAGGCTCAGCCCGTCGACCGCTGGAGTCGTAAGAGCGAGCAAATTCCTCCAGCTCGTCCAGGGAGCCGGTGCGTCCTCTTCTGCCCAGCGTCTTTCTCTTCAGGTGCTCTGAGCGAGGGTTCCACCTACCAGCAAAAGAGCACAGTGACATGGAGGTTACACTTACATAACAAAGTAGGCCAGCAGGAAATAACCTTTATAAACTGAAAGACAATACAAGCAACAAACACTAAAACTTACTAACTCGCTGGTCACCCCAGGTCTGGTGCTTGGTGTGGGATGGAGTGGATAGATGTTGTAGAAAGACAAAGCAAAAGCAAAGAAAGAGAAAGACACAAAGCAAAGAAAGAGCGTGTGATGGAGGAAAGGTTTGTGAGGTAGCAGGGTCCCTGGTTGTGGAGGGAAGAGAACGGCCTTGAATTGTATCCAGTGTGGGAGGGAACTGCTGAACGTGTTGAAAGACTGGTTTGGTGATTTTGAGTGTTGGTAAACTAGCAGCAGAGATATGGAAACACACTGACGACAGCAAAATTCAGACTATTCCGAATAAGAAATTCCTCCAATTATGATGTTTATTTGAGTTACTATAATATCATTTTTCATTTATATTCATAATCTCTATAATCTGATTAGGATTTACATCAACATTGCTGCCTACTTGTTTACACCCAAACTCAGAGCATATGTCGTCAAGCAGTTGGTAACGGCCATATGTCTGATAATAATGCGATTAAGACGTACACATGTAATGCAACTAAGGTTGTTATACTCTACATCTTAATTTGATTATTACTGTTTCCGAGTATAAACTTATTTGGGTGAAAGTAATCAGAAAAGGCTGTTTACACAACAGTGTCTTATTCAGACTATTGTTTTAATCAGGTTAATATTGGAATATTGTGTCCATTGAAGTAAATTAGACGATTTTGTCCCGCTGCATGTGATGAAGTTTTATTGATACGATCTGTGTGGTGGTGCTGTCAAAGATTATAACAGAGTTTTAAAAGTGTGAGGAGGAAGGTAAAGAGGTCAATAATCATTTATCAGGATTCAGATTGAGAATATTGACTTGCATCTATGGTCTAGTTTCAGTGAGACAGTTAGTCAGGATGTATGAGTGTCAGCTGGACATCATCAGCATAGAACTATGAAGTCAGGCTTCACTACTGACTATAAAGCCACATATTGTAGCCTACGTCCAAACAGGCCTGGAACTTATAATAACATTTCATGGGATCTTCACTCTCTTCACACAAACAGACAGAATTACACTGAAAACATATTTTGAGATTCTACCTTCGGTCTAGTTCATCATCTGAGAGGTGTCCTCTGTCCCGTCTGGGCCTGTGTCTCTGTGAAGGTGGAGCTGCCCTCACTGCTGGGTGGTCATCGAGATCTGCGATGGGTGGGAGCGCCTTCATCTGGACCGTCTGATAGGTGTGTCTGAAGTCCGTTGTCCCGCCCTCGTGCAGAGAGCTCAGTTCTGATAGGCTAGTGGCTGTGGTCACAGATGCATCAATCACATTCTCATCATGAAAATAATTCTCAGGGAAACTGTGAAACGCTGTAATCAAACATTTATATACTAACTATATAACGTGCAGTATATAATCATGACTTCTAATTACAGCTCACTGTGAATTACTGAGGCCAGATATGTCTTCAGTGACTTAACTCTATACTATGTTTTTATGTTGCAAGTACCTCAGGTCTGATCTTTAAATCTGATTAAGGGCAGATCCAGGAAGAGCAAGAGAGATGTGTGGAATTATTTGGCTTGTGACTTGTTTTTTGAGTGACCAGTGAGTCAGAGGTCAAGAGTCAGGACCCTTAACTTAAGACCAGCACAAAAGGGGTCTATGCAAAACATGATTATCTTAGCTAGTTTTGAACCAGAGTCATCTTCCTGTTGAGCACCCGCATTTAAATAAGAAATAAGAAACAATTGAGCGCCCATGTTGGTCTTAAAACCAGATGTGGTCAGGCATGTATTGTTGTCTTGAGACACCAGAGACTGGTTGTGTGTTTGAAGACAAACCTGGTGCAGTAAAGTTTTTCTGCCATTAAGAGAAGAAAAAGTTGTTTTGGACCTGCTCTACGTGAACTTGCTCTACGTGAACTTGCTCTACGTGAACTTGCTCTACCTGCTTAGGTCGTTGACAATAACAATTATCTCAAACTCTAGAAGAGTAAAAGAAAGAGGGGCTGAACATATAAACCGTCCTTTTTGAGAAATGAGAAATGATTTAGAGTTAGATGTTATGAAGTGAATGTAGGGATTACAAGAGAACTAGTTCATTTACACAAACCATGCACTTAACATAAAAAAGACACTTGGACAAACACACACACACACACACACACACAGACACATTGTCAACACTGCCACACAGATGACAGAGACTGGCCTCATCTGTGCAGGCTTACGTTTGAGTGCAGCCATCTTGGCAGAGGGAAAGTGATTCAGGTCCTTCTCTATGTAGTACAGAACTTTCATTGAGTCCTGGTCTGGACTGGCTTTCAGTCGATAACCACTGCGCACTGTGGATGTGGACACACACACCCGTACACACAAACACACATACACGGTGACGTACAATAATCATGCAACAGACACTTAATGAACATTCTTAAAACTGCAGAGAACCACAGACAAAGATTAGATGTAAACAACAAACATGCATGTGGCTGATGGACATTTCTTTAGTTTCCATGACAGACATGAGGATGAGGGATGAGGGTTAGTGAAGGCAGAAGTTACAGAGCTTTCTAATATCTAGGAACCACATTGACGACACTCACCTGCAGCCAGGTTATTCTCCACTGAAGGGATTGAAGTGATTTTTGTGTCCATGTGGGATGACGGGGCAAGAGGGACCACAGTAGGGACACCAGGGATGTAGTAGGGATACACAGGTACCTGGGCCTGTTGTCCACTCTTCGCCATCTTCCCTGCCTCATACACTGCACAGGATAACAGCACAACAGTAAAACTACAGTAAACCTGCTGTCAATGATGCAAATAAAGAAAAGATAGTCATGTTTTAAAGTAATTCGCTTTGGACAAACATCTGCTAAATGCCCTAAATGTAAATGTAAATTCATTCAGCTGTTTTTGATACTCACGGTGTCTTGGACAGCAGCAGGTGTCAGGACAGCAGCAGCAGCGGACGTAGCAGCAGCAGGAGTGTGGACAACACTGGCACCAGCAGATCCCCATCAACAACAGGAACAAGACGCTGCCCAGGACAACAGATCCCACAAACGCCCACTCTGGAATAGAAACACAAACAGATAAAAATATATTTATCTATTGTTTCAGGTGCAGAGCCTCTCAGTTTAACTTCCCAATAAAGTGATCTTGGCAATCAGACAAAACTGTCAGACAAAAATTATGTTCTCGCCATTTATTGAACTTATTTAAACATTTTGACTCGTTAAAGTATATTTGCATTTCTCTAAAGTTGCTGCGGTGAGTACGCTTCCATCATAAATGGTTGCAATGTTTGCCAAATCTACACTTCAATTGTAATTCATTACAATTCTCAATGTTATTTTTCTGCATCTTTCCAAATATGCAACCAAAACCCACAGACCACTTCAATAGGAAACTTCAGCAGATCTCTAGGGAACTCTAAGTGACTCTTATCCCTCATCACATCATCACATCTCTAAAGTATCCAGACTCTAACAACACACTTCCTCAGGGTGTGTCGTGAATTGAAATCCACTCGAAACGCCTCGCTAAGTCAACACGCACACACACTTGTGAAATACAAATCACGGCCAAAGCATTTCTTTATGTTGCGTCAAAAACCTACAGACTGTGTGTACATTCAGGTTGGGTTAGATTTTGTAGCTGGTAATATTTCCTCAGTCAGTCGACGTTTGTTAGTCAAAGTTGTGATTAGTCTGATGTGAGAATTAAACATTAGGCGGCATTAGGAAAGCTGGAAAAGGCCAGGAAATGAGACATAAGTGCAAGCGAAGTGCCGTACCTGGCATAAACTCCACATCAAACTCAGGTAGGAGATCGTCCCGCTCACCTGTCCTGCCTGCAGAGAGAGGGAGAGCACAGGTGAAGGCCGGCAGAGGAGGCAAGAAGCAGGAGTCAAAAGGTGTGGCAAATAGAAAATCTGGCAGCAGGGTGGATGATTGATGGCCATGCAGTAACAGAAGGGACTGACTTATATATTAAACAAAACATTGATGTTTAATTAATGTAAATTAAATGTATAGAATCTGTCTTTTAATTAGATTTGGTGAATTACCATATACGCTGTCTTTACTTTAAGATCAATGAGGTCATGTCAGATTTTAAGCCTTGTTCGCAGCATGACTGTCAGAGGATCAGTCCATATATCTCAGCAATTATTAAATCAACTGCCTTTCAGTTTTGTTCAGACATTCATAGTCCTCAGAGGATGAATCCTAATGGCTGCAGAGTTCCACTGAAGTTTCCTGTATAGTGACAGAGATACTCATGCTCCCATCAGGTTGAACTGCTGCTGATCCCTTTTGTGAACCTTAAACCTTTCTTCTAGCGCCACCATCAGGTCAAACATTTAAAACTGTCCAATACTTTGGTGTAAATACCTAATTCAGCTTCTACAAACCTCTGAACATGAACAAAGTTCAGAGCTCAAAGGTCAAACTTATTTTACTTTGAATCTAAATTTAGAAAGCGCCCTGCAGTGCCATGTTTCTGTGATGAGGTTCACAACAAACATGTGACCTCTCCACAGCGCACGAATGAATGCACATGTATGTTACGTGCATACAGACACACAGAAACCATTAAACTGAGAGCTGCCAACAATGTGGGTGAGGACCAAGAGGGGGTTTTGGAAACTGGGGCACATCACAATTCTAGGGCAACAATTCACTGCAGGAGTTTGTTTAAAAAGGTTGTGCAAGTTGTGGTTGTGAAACAATGCCTCCTCTGTACTTCATCTACAAGATAAACAGGTCAAAATGTAGAGAACCAAAAGAGAAATGTCAAAAGAGAAAAAAGAAAAGAGAGAGTGGGCGTTTGAGTTTCTAGTGTGTGTTTATCATGAGGTGGTGAAAAAAGGACTGTAATTAAGAGTAAAGACCAGTCACTGTCAGATCACATAATTACACTACAGGCAGTTTCTATGGTGAGTGGTGCTGAGTATGTAGTTTCCAGGATCAAGGTAAAAAAAAAAAAAGACACACCCCTCCCTGATAAAATAAGTAATCTTGCTTCCCGGCCTGGCACACTCATCTACATACCATGAGGCTCAGTAACGCTGAGTAACCTGAGAGAGCGCAGCAGCTATGCAGGCCTGAGAGGGAGGGAGGCAGTGAGAGATGCAGGGAGAGCAGTGAAGGTCGAGGAAGGAATAATGGAGGAGCGCACGAGAATATTCAGCAAGAGAAAAAATGTAATTCAAAAGAAAAATAAAACCAGAGATTAGAGAGATTGTGAGAGAGGAAGTGGGACAAGTTGGTGCTTTAACGCTTCATCAGTGAGAAACTTGATGTCACGTGTTAATGGTTGAACTTTAGAGGTTCTGATAGATGTGTTCTCTTACTTTCAGCCACATTGTTTCACCCATAGACTGTTTTTTAAAGATGGACGACATGACAGCTCCGCAAAAGTGAGGCCAGATTGTCTCAATCACCACCGTGTGGCTGGCTGCTGTATAGGTTAAAGATCCTGCCTCATCCATGTTAGTTGAGGTGACCAAACTAAAAAGTCAAAGCACACGTTAAATGCTTTTTTTAAAAAGATGGTTTCTACCATTTAAGGTAGCTCCAATCACACATATTAAAAGGGGTGAAACATTATGATTGACAGCTGACACTGACTCATGATTGGTTGTAGCACAACTGATCACTATTGTGCAGCGTTCATATCCAGGGTGGATGGTGGAGACGCATCGTCCATCTTTATATACAGACTAAGGTTTCACTCTGTTTTCCTTGGCTAAACTAACCTGCTTCTGTCAGGAGCTTGATGTTGAACTGACAAGTATGAGACAATTACTTTATCATCTACTGCTCAGCACAGTGGAAACCTCAGGAAATGCTAATTTGGCCCTGAAGTGGTTTGACTCACTTTCTAATTTCTTTGTAGGTGCAATGTGGCGAAGTCAAAACGAAATCTGGAATCAACCCAGAGTAGTTTTGTTATTCTCCCAAGTTTGACCCCCTCCTTCTGTCCTGTGAGCTGGTTATAATCAGATTAGTGCACAGTGGAGGAAAACTTAAACACCAGCTTACTATGGTCAGTTTTAACTTTAGGAAGAAATCTCTTTTGGTTTACATTCAGATCACAGTATCATGAGAATTCATAGCCTCGGTTTGTTCCTTTTCTTTGTCTCCTTCCCTCTTTTGTCTTCCTCTCTCTTTACGTCTGCACCAGCACCAACCCTTAACGTGCTCCTGTCCGCTGTGAAAAAACCTGTCGCCATGGTAACGGCTTAAGGAGTGGCTTTGGCAACAATGGTCTCCACAATTTCTCTCTCTCAGCGAGTGGACACACTACTTCAGGTTTCATTAACAGTAGATGGTGAATCTCCGACCTTTAGCATCGCTGTTCGGAGCGGCTTCAAGAGCTCTGTGTAATCATTAATCAGCAAACAGCCTTTACAATGAGAAAATAGACGGTTGTGCGGCTGGAAATATGACCACATGGTGTCACAACTCTGACATTCATTTTGTTCGACTGACTTAAGATGCAAATAAAGTCCAGTCCTGCCGACCTGGGTGACCAACAGAATCTTTTGTGAGCTGCTTTCAGATATAAACTCAACTCCAGTTATTTTCCTCGATTTGAGGGGCTGTTTGTGAGAAAGCAAAGTCAGCTGCTCTGCCTTCCAGCCCCCTGGCAAAATGTCAGTGTAAGCCCAAGTGAGAATACAGCAGGAAATTGCTCAGTGACCAATTGGATGTGTTGAGGACGTTTCTAAACATCTAACATACACAAAACTAAAAAAAAACCAATGCAAACATCTCAGGATGAAAACGAGGTGCCAATGCACAACTGACTGTAGATGTACCTAAAGTACAGTCCAGCCATCTAGAATAAACAACTGCGTCCATCATGGAGGATCAGGACCGTGTAAAGACGCAAATACCATTCAACCGTCTCCATGGAAGCTGGTGTATGGACACTTAAGGACAAAGGCAGTAAATAGGTTTTTCTAAAACCTTTGCTAATGCAAAAAGACACTAAATATGCAAACATACAAACATAAATAAGGAAAACTGTCAACTGATCATGATCTGGCTCAAAATGTGTGTACTGTCATTCCGTTCGTTGAAGAGTCAAGCACAGACATACCAAGCACAAGTAACTCCAGCTGACCCTCATTCTTCCCTTCCAGATCGTCAGCAATAATGACTTTACAGAAGTACACTCCACTGTCGCCCCACTGCAGCTCTCCGATCCGCAGGTCTGCTTCTGTACAAAAACAAGAAGACAAGGTTAAAAGTGCTCAAGTCAAAGAAGGTTAAATTGTTGCATTTTGTAAATTCAAATGATCCTCTGTAGAGCATTGCTTCTATTTAATGAGAGTTAGAAAGCAAACACGAGATTAGACACATTTCTGTAAGGGGCTCAGTAATCAGACCTGACCTTTGCCTGTTGTTGAAAATCTCATACTCTGTCATATTTATCTTGAAACTATTTTACATCTGTATATGCTGAAAGTATTTCAGCACACTAAATGACTCCTAACCCCACACAGCTGAACACTGATATCTGTGTGTTCATTTGAAAACATAATACATCTGCAATTTGACCAAATCGTAGTTCAAAACACGAAGGTATTCAATTCACAATAACTTAACAAGCGTACACCATCTTTGTGTTTAAATCACTTCTATTAATAATCACTTTGCAAAATCCCAATCAATTAATCAGCTTATTGCTTGTAGACATGTTAACAAAAAACTAAACCCCTTATCGTTTAAGCTTTAATTTATCATGGGGCTATTTAAACTGTACTGGATGATGAGAGGAGCAGACTTGTTGCATGTGGGTTGTTCCACTCACACTTTTGCATAGAGGACAGCTGTTATGTCCTGATAAGGCTTGAGGTTTAAAAAGAGACATGAATAGGAGCTAAAGCAGGATTGGTGTTTGTGTGAGTGTGTGTTAATGCCTGCTCTATTGTAAGACGAGGACAAAAGGCGTTTATTTAGAGAACAGGAAACACAAAGCACAGTCAGCTATGATTCCTGCTTGGGGATGAATCTCAGGGTGCAGTGCTCAAACAGCTGCAGCATTTCTTCCTCTATAAATCATATCTTTCTCTCAGAGTATAAGAATGATGACATTACTGTTTATGATGGACATGTCTCTGCCCTTGTAGTGCTCAGCCAGCGTCATGGAGGCTCCCTGCGCCGAGGCCACGACCCGAACTGTGCGGCTGCTGTCGGAGCACTCCAGGTGGGAAGTGGCTCCGAGATCGGAGACCTGCACGCCCAGACTCTCTGGCAGGCTGAAGGAGTCTCGTGTGCGGTCTCGACAGTAGGACTTGTACCACCACTGCACCACCGGGGCCTGGGTGGAGGCCGATTGGTACTGACATGGGAGGACCACGGACTGGAAGAGCATCGCAAACCGCTTCTTCTCCCGCACTGTGACATGGACACCATAACACACACACACTGACACAGACAAAACAAACAGGGAGAGAAGAGGACAAATAAGTGAAAGTGAAAGTTTCTTGAATAACAGACACAAAGATAAGCCTGTATTCTAATGTCTTCAAACTGCCTTTTTGTCTAAGCATCATTAAAAAAATAATGATAAATCTTTTTTACAGCCCCGGGTTGCAGGTTTGTATGTTTAAATATTCATTCATTACTTTTATTACCATATATTAATTTAATTCCATTCATTATGCATTCCAGTCCTGCATAAATTCTACCATCGTAGAGACTGTTTTTTGTTTTAAGGGATCACATTTTAAAGTTTCAAGTCTAGATTTTTGCACATAAGCAAACATAAAATCGAACACTAATATGTCTGTAAAGGGCTTATATCGGCTGAGTTTCATCATCAAACAGAAATACAGTTATCGTAATATTGGGTTAACTAAAGACCACTTGCAGTATCTGCATCAGACTGCTGAGAGTTCATATTAGCTTTCACCTTTTTGCACAGAATGAAGAAGGTGGATTTGGCTAACTTTAATCAGCCGCTATGAACAGCAGGCAGTTACCACAGTGTTATGTTGCAAAGTATTTCTAATATATTTAGTCTAGGCTCGGTGATAACAATGGGCTGGACTAAATATCACAAGGCTGTACAAGTTTTAGCTGAGTCTACATAGACAAAAACAGTTTATAGACTGGAAGAGGATGCACGTGATCACATCGCAATTGCAGCACAATCTATTGTGTGTATGTTATTTGTGTGCAGAGATGTTTCAGGGTTGCACTTCATCTGGAATATACAGTAATATCCGTCGGGAGAAAACAAAAAGAAAGAGAGATTAGGTGTGTGTGTGTGTGTGGGGG